CCACTTGAAGTAAAAATATTAAATAATATATTGACATAGTGGCTCAATGGGTAGCGCTGTCACCTCACAGCAAGTAGGTTGCTGGTTCGATCCTCGGCTGGGTCAGCTGGCATTTCTGTTTGGAGTTTGCATGTTCTACCCGTGTTGATGTGGGTTTCCTCAGGGTGCTCCGGTTTCCCCCACAGTCCAAAGACATGCGCTATAGGTGAATTGATTAAACTAAATTAACTGTAGTAGTATAGTGTATGTGTGTGAATGAGTGTGTCTGGATGTTTCCCCAGTGCTGGGTTGCAGATGGAAGGGCATCCGCAGTGTAAAAAATATGCAGGATAAATTGCCGGTTCATTCCGCTGTGGCAACCCCTGATGAATAAAGGGACTAAGCCGAAGAAAAATGAGTGAATGAATATTGTATTAAGCATAATAGACATATATATGCATCTTAATTACAATATTGCTTAACCATTTTATCTAAAATGGCAAATAGTGCAGGAGTCTTGGTTAATCACATTCCAGAAATATTTTATTTACTATCCCTTGCAGGTGGTATGATCTTTCCAATCTCATTCGAAATGTTGAATCCCTGATAATAGACAGATGAAAATTCTGAAAAAAGAAAATAAAACAAAAACTCTACACACCCTGTTTCTTTCATGCTTCCCTAATATAGCTTGTATTTATTCTAGGCTATGTTTAAAGGTTTTAATTACTAACATTTCTAAATTGTATCTGAATGCAACCTTTATGATGCAGACTGAGATTGCATCTCTCAGCAATGCAACGTCAGACACAATGCACTCAATGTGAGGGGTATGGTTAGTGGTGGGGCACCCATTAAAAAGCATTACATCTAGCTGAGATTGTACCTGCACCAGGTTTGCATTCAGACCGTTCTCAAATTTCCTGCTTATTTCCCACTTTTTTCTTCATCTATGTTTCTTCAGATAAAACCATTGACTAAAATAATAAATGTAAAGTTTAAATAAGTGTAAGTGTAAAGAAAATGTAATTTCATACAGTATTTACAATGTGCCAAGTCATATAACATCAGAAGTTAATTAAAACTGAATCATTTTATTCAAAGGATCTAATATTAATACAGATTAATGGTATTGTACACCATGAGGTTTTGTTTCCTCTTCAGTCTGTAGTTTATGCAAGAGATTTACATTATAATTGAATGCTTTGACAGATTTTCAAATGAACACACAGGCTGTGTCAGAAAGCTGTAAAATGCTAGAGTTGGAGGCAGGATTTCAGTTTGGGAAGGCATCAAGGCACATCCAAATTCAAATTGGGTTTAACTTCCTGTCTCCGGAGATACCTTCTCCTGGTCAGATTTTGAAAGCAGCAAGTGTCTTTTATTGCTGTGGAAACATATTTTATCTGTGGGAGCAATATTTGATCTAATTCATTTAAATATTCTAATGCTAGTGTAAGTCACACACCAAATTTTTAGATATTTCAGAAACTTTCAGAAATACATTTCGCCACCTTGGAATTATAAGGTTCTATCTCCATTCTGAATGACTTTGAGATATTAAGCGCCAAAGTTTTTGATTTCCATATAGCAAACAGTATGTGTGTAACATTTGTTTTTAAAATAATAACTCAAAAAATAACTCAAATAACTCAAAAAACATCCCATATAATGTAAATAAGTTGTCATTTAATTTTATATATATATATATATATATATATATATATATATATATATATATATATATATATATATATATATATATATATATATATATATATATATACACACACACACACACACACATATATATATATATATATATTTTTTTTTTATTTATTTATTTTTATTTTTTTATTCAATGTTAACAAAACACAGAGGCTGAAAAAACTTATAATGAAACATCAATTCAAATATCCCACCCCTCTCCCCTGCGGTCTCTTGAAACTGGGGTATCCAATGAATAGTAGTTAACATAAAAACGAAAACAGAATAAGTATCAAATATCAATTATACAAAGCAAGGCAATCATTCTGGATCCTGATCATTTCTTAGTGCAATAAACAAGGAGATTTTGTCAGCAGCTGAAGTCCAGATCTTTAATCTATTCATTTGTACCAAGTTCACTCTCGCTGTGGATAACTCCAACATTATAATGTCCTGAAGTTGTATCAACCACTTGCACATGTCCAAATTATGTGGAGGCAGCCAATGTTGGGCTAGTACTTTTTAGCAGAAGTTAAGCCAGCCAGCCAGCTTTTTGTAGCTTGATAAGGTTCAACGAAAAAATCACCGCACAGTAATAGAACGGAAGGATTAACTGGTACAGGATATTCAATTATTTTGGATAAGATGACACAGACCTCATTCCGAAATCCAGATCCAAACTTCTGGTCGGGACATTTATCACAGAAAGGACTAAAGGAGGCATTGATACAATGTCTTTATAAGTTGCCACTTAATAGGAATTAGTCAATGACAAAATTGACAAAAATGTCAGATAGAACCTCATAGTTCTAAGGTGACGATGCCGGTTTATTTCTCTTTTGCCACATACCACATTTGACAGAAAATAAAAACTAAATGTTTTGAAAAATTTTAGAAATAAAAGCAGAAAAATTCAATACGCTTTAAAAAAAATCGAGCTTTAATCATATTACCTTAAATTTCCCAGCATTTGTGTACTGTTGATTGGTTCTGCTCAGACGTCATTTTATTTTTAAAGATTTTCATTCACAGTAATTGGAAAAATAAGAAAAAGTTACATTTCTTATTCAATTCTCCCGTAAACTAAAGAGCTTCCCAAGATTAACATTTGATATTGAGGTAATAGTGTAATCATATTTTCTATATAATTGCATTTACTCAGTTATTTTGGGCTCATCATGTACAGTACATGACCGAATTTCTTGCGCTAATAGTCAAATAAACCCTTTTTGCTGTAAATAAGTTAAATATAATGTAACTAAAACGCCCCCTTCTATTTTACACTTTATTGATGAACTTGCTATTATGGCTTAATCACTTAGTACTTTGTCAAATGATAAAGGTACTAAAGTAGTTATTTTTTTTCAGCGAATTTTGTACTTTGTCAGATGATAAAGGTACAAAAATAGTTACTTTTTTCAGCGAATTTTGTACTCTATAGCTATTGTATAAACTTAAAAATAAAATGTTTTACTTATTTTTATCTATTTATTTACTTACTTTTTTATTTTTAGCCAAAGCAACATGTCTGTAGCTTAAAGAAAAATCCTACCAAACCTTTAGGACAATTAGAGAATTCACATCAGACCAGAACGATTTAACAAAGGGACATTCCCAAAACAAATAAGCATCAGATTCAGAAGAAGACTCACAGAAAGAGCAAGAGATGCCAATGTCATTTTTTAATTTTTGTAAAAACTGTTAAACTGGAAAAAACCTGTGAATAATTAAAAAAGATATTTCTTTAATTTTATTTTATTTTTTTAAATTCTGCTGGATTGACCAAACATAACATACGACCATTTAATATAATCAAAAAGGTTGTTCTAATAAGAAATAAAAGAATGCAACAAGAGTAGAATCAGGACTAGGGGAACAAACAGTAATCAATGAAACATAGATTTCAGCGGAGATGGCCTTACAAATGATATTAAATTCTTTTTTAGATATGGGCAGAGTATAGCTCACAGTAAAATCAGAGTAAGTAAATAAATTACCATCACTGTCCATCACTCCTTTACTGAACCAATTATTAAAGAATATAAATTTGTCATTACCACATGTTGCTTTTTTCAATCTTTGTGTTTGCATAATGTTATAATTGTATTACTTCATGCTTGTTTATGCATGCACTCTCAGAAATAAAGGTACAAGAGCTGTCACTGGGATGGTACCTTTTTTTTTTTTAAATAATTGTACTTAAAGGGTCCATATTAATACCTCAAGATTACATAATAGTACCTTTAAAAATTTTAGGAACTAATATATACCTTTAAGGTACCAATACCCTCTAAGTATAAATATGTACCTTTCAAAAAGGTACTACCCCAGTGACAGCTATACCTTTTTTTTGAGTGTGTGTACTTTGTATATTTCTTTGACCAAAAAAAAAAAAAAAAGCTGTTAAGTGGGTACTTTAACACCTGATACACCATTGTGTTCACATGCTTAACATCTATGACTGTGATTGGCTAGATACCGGTACTGTTCAACAGAACAAAGAAGTGCATAAAAGATTGGAAACACTTGAGAGTAAAAATTAAGTATATTTCTTTTTTTGAGGTGGACTATTCTTTTAAATCGCATCTTTGGATACGAGCATCAAGTGATGCTCATTATAGACAGGCACTGCGGACGCGCAGACTTTGAAAGTAACAGTTTCAATATGAGCACAAACACAAAACATGCCGCCCTGTTGTAACTGATGGATGCTCATAGTTTATGCTGGAGCCGATCGAAATGATTAAATGCTAAATCACGTAACCAGTTAAACAGTGCGGAACAGAACTATTTATGAAATAGAATAAAATAACAATTGCACTAAATATGACTAAATAGCTGAATAAAAATGAGTTTAGAATCATCAATTAAAAGCGAATTTGTATAATTAAAGTCATTTAAAACGTGACAGTGCCGATATCCTTGATATTTAGGGGAAAAAAAAACTTTTGTCATAACAGTTAAATTCATATAGATTATATAATGAATAAGTATAAAGAGTTTGTTTATTTATTCTTATTAGTATTCTGGTGACTTCATTTAGTTTAAGCACTATTATTGCTAATTTTCCGGTCTTATTTAAATAACAATTATTCTTCCGATTATAATTGTAAAGTTGTTACATTTAATTAAGGGCAAAATCGGAAGGATTACAATGGTGCTTTCTAAAATAATAAATATTTTTAAAATAATTAAATCAAATAAACATCATCTTTTGTCATTTGCGTATATTCATTATAATGATGACAGTTTTGTTTAAACCAGTGCTGATAATACACATCTAAAGGCCTGCGGGATCTCATCCTGCGCGCTGTGCTGTAATGGGTCACGCGCGTCCGATGCGCATCTGTCGCGCGGCTGCTGTGACTGAAGCTCGAGCTCAATGCAACGAGTCATGGACTACACGGCGCATTAAAGGACATACTTCAAGAACCGGTAAGTCACGCGGCGTTTTTTGCTGTCGTTTCGACATATGAACGCGATTAAAGTGTCATATAAGAGACGTATTTAGTTGTATCCGTCTTGTTTGCATGTCTACCAGGAAGTGTATTGCTCCGACTGCGCAGCTAAAAGGCCTTTGTTCGAAAATACAGCGCTGTCACAGATTGAAACCCATTTTTGTTATGCTTGTGATAAATTTAGGCACTAATGCGAGCAGTGTCATCATCGACATGCCTTTATGTCTTATGTAATTCGTGTGTTTTTGTGAAAGAGCTTGTTTAGCCGGAGCTAAAGCAGCAGCCCTGCTCTCATCTGTTGTCATGGTAACGCTGCAGCAGCAGGAGGAATCTCCCTGTATGATGCTCATGTATTATGGCTGATGTCACTGTGTTCCGGTGTGCCAGTTATACTGCCATCATCTCGAGTCAGTTTGTTTAGCATGTTTTAGTTTTATAATCATTGAAGAAGGGTGGTTTTGACGGTAGCCAGCTAAAATGGAGGTCTAGTAATGAATAGCTGTGTAGGTAAGCAGAGGGTGTTTAATCGCATAGTCATACGGCGTTATTTGGATCAGCCCTAGATTAATGATAGTGATTTTGAGGATTTTGGAAAGTGTCTAGGTGGATGATGGCAAAAATGCAGGGCTGAAAAAGACTAAATGTGAAAAGGAAGCAGATAGAGAAAAATAAATACTTTATTGATTTAATTTTAGGGATTCCCCTTAGGGATTTACAGCAACCAGTGCCATAAACAACATTTGCTCCCTGGGATTGATTTTCAGGGAGTTTTGTTTTTACAAGTGTAAAATGTAAGCAAGACATCTAAGCACAACAGATGATTTGCCTTGAATACATTTTTAATAATTTTACTGTATCTCTGTGTTAGATTCTAAAATGACAGGCTTTTTTTATTGTAATTGCTGTTGTAAGGTTTCAGAGTTGTTGGGAATGTTGTTTCAGTCTTAGTTTTTCAGAACTTTAGGTTTATTCATTAATTTATTTTCCTTCAACCTAGTCCCTGATTTATCAGAGGTCGCCACAGTGGAATGAACCATCTCCTTTAGGTTTAGCCAATGTTACTTATATGTTTACCATGATTTATAGAAGATGCTCACTATCAAAATGCCATTGAGTGTAACAACAAATTAAAAACCAACTACTCAGACCTGTGGAGAATAATAATAATAATGATTTGTTTAGTAAAAGGGTAGTAAAAGGTACTACCCATTCGTCAGCAAGACATTTTTAAAATGAAAATTAAATACGCTAAGTTATATTACTTTTTTATGTAAGTACATGTCAGAATTAGAGTTGTATGCATATAATATATATATTGCGATATAAATGCAATTTCCCCAGATGACTTGATCGATTGGGTTGATTGTGAAGGGGAGAGCATCTGCATAAAATACCATTTAAAAATGATAAGCATAGTTAAATACAATAGACAAAAGGAGCAAATAAACTATGATTTATGATTTTCTAAGGAGTCAAACAGTCTTCAGAAGCAGAAATTAAATAATCACTGTATAATAATAATAAAAATAACACTATACCGTTTTAATTAAGTACAAATGTACAATTAACCTTTAAGCTACAAAAGTTTAATTTATTTTTTCCCAAATAAACATAAAAACACATGCAAATAATAAACTTTCAGTCTAAGGTTAAATTTATTTCAGGTTTACATTTATTTACTTACATCTGCATTTGCATTTATCTGATTGTCTGTTTCACTGCGGTTTTTGATGTTACACATATTAGTGTATAGTCCATCAGCTGTTTCAGTTTCTGTCAGATTTGTGTTTTTGATTGTTTGGCGCCATCTTCTGTTTGAATAATGTACAAGTTAGCATATACTCCATCAGGTTAAAGTTTGAAATTACTGCACATTGTTTTGAATTTTTATGGGTTTATCACCTATAATTTGCATAAGACGGTGGAGGTTACAGACAGGAACATATAGGGAGCAGAGAGAGGGGAAGGGTCGGCAAAAAACTAGGGATGCTCCAAACAGGTTTTTTGCAGCCTATTCTGAGTACCGATTCCTTGTCATGGTGATCAGCTGATACCGAACACCGATTCTGATGCTTTAAGCTTTATAATGCATTAGGCACATTTTCCCTCAAAGTATGACACTTAAGTGGAGATCTCCCCTTATCAAAGAGAATAAATGAAGAATGTTCCATATAATCCTTTATACAGTACATGTCTCCTTTAACCGTTTTTTGTGGACATGGTCAGAAGCAGCTTTACAGAAAATAAAATATAAAATAGTCAAAAACACAGAACTTTCAGTGTTTATATTTGTAAAAAAGCCTAAATACATGCAAGACCATTCCAATATTTTGCTCTCCAACGAGCACATCTGTGACTGCAGCTCCTCCGAACAGCCTCACAGCAATTCGATCACTCGAATAGAGGTACAGAAATGTGCACTTGAGATATCTTTACTGTACTATTCATCTAACCTAACAAATATAAAGCTTAGAACATTACTGTGCCTCTCATAATCTGTTCTCTTGCCAATTCACTCTCATCTCCATGATTACCATGGTATTTTATCTTTTTTAAAACAACTACGATCGGTTCATGAGATCGTCCAGAATGGCGAGTATCGATCGAGTCAAAAAATGTGAGACCGATCTCCAGCCAATCGGTCAGAGCGTCCCTACAAAAAACGTTTAGCGGGGAATCGAACTCAGGTCGCAGTGAGCACCATGGTGCTATCTGTCAGTGCACTTAAATACTAGGTTATTGGCGTGACCTCCACAATGTTGCTAACTGTAATGTCTGGTCAACTATAATCCCTGGGATGTGACTATTGCGGACTCGCACATTTAGAATATCGATGAAGAAACGATTTATTTTGCAGCCCTATAGTCAGAATATTTTTCTTTTTACATAAACACTAAATTCTGAAACATTAACTGTATGTAGTCAATACCTTTATATGTAATCTTTATTTACACAAAAGATATTTCAATCATTAACATACTTTACTTACAATTATTATACTTTCTTTGTATATAATATTTAGGGGACATCACGGTGGTGCAGTGGGTAGCACAATCACCTCACAGCAAAAAAGTTGCTGATTCGAGCCTTGGTCATTTCTGTGTGGAGTTTGCATGTTTTCCCTGTGTTCACGTGGGTTTCCTCTGGGGGCTCCGCTTTCCCCCATTAGTCCAAAGAAATGCGCTATAGGTTAATTGGAAAAGCTTAATTAGTCGTAATATATGAATGAGTGTGTATGGGTGTTTTCCAGTGATGGGTTGCAGCTGGAAGGGGATCTGCCACGTAAAACATATGCTGGATAAGTTGGTGGTTCATTCCGCTGTGGTGATCCCTGACTAATAAAGGGACTAAGACGACAAGAAAATGAATGAATTAATTAATATTTAGTAATTCGGTTAGGATGGCAAAATTGGAAGTTTCGTCTTTGACTCTTATACATTTGATGCATTTAGTTGATTTAGCTAAACATAAGTGATAGCTCCTCAGAGAAATGTTACTTTTATTTAATTTTGAGTTTTTAGAATGTTTGTAGTTCCAAACAAATGCAATGAAAATATCAAGTTAGACTTAGTATTCAGTCTGATTAGATGTGCTGTGTTTTCTGCTCTATGTTTTGTAACAGAGGCCTTTGTAGGAATAATTATCCTTCTCTTTACAATGTAATCAAAAACGTAAACTGCTTTTGTGACAAGCGAGCCTAAAAACTCTCGACAACAGCCACCATTAAAGCGTTTGGTGATTGCATCCTGCCTTTAAGCAAATAGTCCTTTCTGAAAAAGTGAAACTAATTGTAGTCTTCTGCAACTTACTCCTACATTACTGCACTTATACCATGTAATTTTGTTTTCACTTGTCTTCAAACCGCTATCTGTCAACATATGCTAACTGTAGCAATTACTTTGCAAATTGCCTGTGACTACATAGAAGCTGTTGTAGGCAGACCAGTTTGTTCTTGACATAAATGTAAGAACTATTAAGATGCAGCTTTCTTTTGTAGACTTGTATCTTATATTTTTTATTACTGGCAAACAGGAATCACGTTATAAATCTTGCTATTGTTTCCAGCTGACCTTGGAATGACCTTGAGGTTGTGTATTTTATGCTACATCTGACTTTGAAATGTTTACCGAGTCCACAAAAGCTCTTCATCATGTTGTATGATGTTTGACGCAAGAAGGCCTGCCTGACCTTACTGGACATGACAGTTGGTTGATGTGGATTTGTTGCTTTTGTGTTGATATCACATGTAAAGGTCAGGCTTTCAGCTGTTGTGCGATGCAGCTTTCATTGGCCGGACTCTTTTCATAAACAAGCATTAAAGGCTAATGGTGTTCTTGCAGGACAGGCCTCAACTCAACAGGCCCCCATCAGCTGTCTTTCGTACTGAATTCAGTTCCTGTCTATGCCGGGGATGAATGCACCAATGAGGAGCCTGACCGTGAGTAACCTGGTCCCACGATCCCATCCGTCCATGACTCCGCCACTCAGTGTTGCATATATGCCTTGTCTGACGTGGTGGACATTATTTGTCGATATAATTGTACCCGTTAGGTACACCATATGCCATGTTGACTAACTGTTGTGTGTTATTTACAGGGTATGCCTGATCGCATGTTATGTGCAGTGCTGGAGCAATTTCAGCTTTACTTTTCCCGTTGGTATGTGCGCTTTGTTTCAGTGAGTGTGTGATATCCATGTTTTTTTAATTATTGTCTTCGGTTAGAGTGGCTCTAGTGCCAGTAGTCTGTCGTCTGTTTTGCGTTGAAGATCCAGTGTGATCTTTGCACAAGGTAAGTCCGTATTTCTGTGTAGTCGACAGTCTGTGTTTTATGTACATCATACGCTTGATTGTGTTTAACGGTGGCTGTGCAACACTACAACACATATTGTCTGGTACCATACAAAGCTCTGTGTCCTCATATCGTTTGTACAGCCACAATGAACACACAGCTCAAATCTGTTTGCATGATACTGTTACTAGATGTTTCTGTGACACGATGCTTCTTCTGAGGTGTTTTATTTTCATTCCATTCAATTAGCGTCAAGGTTTTGCTAAAGTAAATTGCTTATCTTCTTTTAATATTTCATTCTGTAATTGAATTGCTCCAAACACATATTAAACAGAGGTAGCATTCAATAAGCAATAAACCTAACTGCTACAAACAGGATTTGAGCTCTGGCTGATGCGTGGTTCAAGTTAGCATTTGTGGTGGATGTGCTTTTGTCTTTCAGATCCACTCTCTCTATAGCACAGCGAGCCCAAGCATGCTGAAGAGGAAGCAGAGCTCGCGGGTCGAGGCCCAGCCTATGACTGACTTTGGGCCAGACGAAACACTGACAGACAGTGCTGACATTCTTTGGATCAATAAACCAGTATGTGTAACCTTACCATTCAGCTGTATAATATTTGTTAAATAGCTGTTATTTCTGTCCAAGCTTTTAATAATCAAAATATCCATATTTACAATTACAATGGGTGACACTTCAAAATGACCATTAACGCCCATATGGCATCATATATGTATAATTTTAATTGTAAAGCTTTTTCAATCTGACAACAATTTAAACAAATCTATTAAAAATATATATATTTCCAGATCTTTAAGTCTTTATGGGTTTTAAAGGCCCTGTGAAGTGCTTTGAAATGTGCCTTTTTATTCGATGTTTGACAATCTCTACCAAAACACGAGAGGATGGGGCGTAGTATAGCTAATCCCCCTTTTTTTTAAAAAAAAAGGTAAATAGCATTTTGTTCTGCCGGTGAGAGGGGTTGAGCTCAAGTGCATCAAATGAAAAGCAAATGAGAAGTGTCTTGAAGGGTGTGGGGCATGTCAGATCCTAGAAAGCAGTTGATCGGTTATGATTTCATGAGAAACTGTAGTATGAAGTGACGAGAATAAAACCGTTGATCCATTTAGGCCGAAGTGACAAACACTACAAGCTTGACATGTTTATATCAGTTTTAAACTGTATCTCCTAAACATGAATTTTGTCACTGTTTTGTAGCACACTAGCTTGTAGATATCTTAAACAAACAATACTGATACTAACGTCTAAATACTTTATTTTAATTTCATGGGACTTTTAATAATTTCATCTAAAATCCACAAAGCAAATTCTATGGTGTTCTTCAGTCAAAAATTGCTAACTGAATTCTGTCTTTATTTTTGCCTCAAAGAAATCATAATTAAATTATAATTAAAATCATAATTGATGGTTTCTAACCACTATAGGGAAATAGCTAGGAGAATAAGAAGTAAATGTAATCTTAACATCTAAACACTCCCTTTAATCCCAGGTAAAAAAAAATAAAAAATCTTGTCATTTAGAAGTGGGGTTAACCCCACTAAGGGATGCCATTTTGATTTTGCTTTGTTGGTTCATAAATACCTCAGGCATATTACGTTTTTAACTTCTTGATCAGACACTGTGATAGTTATGTAAATAGTAGTACTAATAGCTCTGTTAGTAATGAAACAAAAGGTGCATCCCAAATCGCATACCTGTGCACTATTCTATGCCATTTTGTAGTATAAATAGTGTGTGTAGTGCATTCATGCTGAAATATTCTTTTTATTTCAAAAAGAAAAAGTGCACTTTAAATACCCGGATGATGCCCTTATTCAACCGTTAAAAAAAGTGTGAAATGATGGACGCTTCATGTGCTCAACAGTCGGAGCTTTGCTCATGTAGCGGAAGGGGCAGAGGAGCTTTATTTTTTTTTTTGGATTCTGGGAGCAAAATTCTCCTGCAAGATCATACCAACTGCCGATAGTGAATGCAGTTATACTTATGGCAGGTATTAGCTGGTACTTTGGTCACTTTTTTCACTTAATTTGGCAACCGTCAAACGTAATCTGGGACACGGTTTGAATTTCCACTTAGTAAAAACCCATTAGTGTTCAATTTGGGATGACACTACATACATATACTATGATGTTGAGTGTGTAAGTGCATAAGTACATAGTGCAAAGTGTGCCACTTGGGACGATTCCATCTTGTGGTCAAATGTGGAAATTCTTTTGCCGCACAAACTCTAAGTGCATTATGGGTGTGACTGTAACTAGCCTTTAAGTGTACATCAGTTGTAAACTTGCGCCACTCCAAAACTGAACTTACCTACACCTGACCCAGGGCATGTAGAACACAAGTGTGAACAGTGTGAAAAACCAGAACATGAAATCCCACAGTCAATAGTTAACCAGAATAAATTATGAGCAATGTGAAATTTGTGGCAAGAAAACCCAGCATTCTATTTACCGCTGTTTAGTTTGATCTAGAGTCAATTGTTTCATGATTGAAATTTGCCTTTTGCTATCCTACTATACACACATAGCATTAGCATTATAAAATTGATATTGAGTTTGAGTGAGGGCAGTACACAAATCACATTCAAACCTATTTAGGGCCTTTTTTAGTCTACTTAGGATGGTGAAGGTAAGCTAATTCCTTTCCTTCGGACTATTTCCTATTCCCTAAATAATTTACTGTGAACAGACATGTTTTTTAACTACCTGCTTAGTTAGGACAAGGTGCAAAGCTGAAATCATGTGCCACACTCTAAAACAGATTGTGTTCTTTGTTCTCAGTGGGTTCACTCTCTCCTGCGGGCCTGTGCCATAATCAGTGTTATTTCGGTTTGTATGAATACACCTAAGACCTTTGAGCACTACCCTCCCCTACAGTATGTCACCTTCGCCCTGGACACACTGCTGATGTTCCTGTACACCGCAGAGATGATCGCCAAAATGCATATCAGGGGCATCATCAAGGTAACACACTCAATCAGCGTTGTCACAATTTATAACGGAAATAAAATGAGGGGAGAAAAAAAAAGACTGTGTCCTTTGGACATGCTGTTGAAACAGGCAAGCGGTTAAATAATGTGTGGGCTGTTTAACTGGTGAATCAAGAATAACAACTGCATGGAGACATTGAATCACTGAATGGTTCACTTCCTGTACTATTATATATATATTCCTGTAATAGTGAAGAGATAATTTTGTTCAGTTACTACTTTATCTTCGCTCTCGGCAAGGAAAGCAGTAAGGTTCATGTAGAAGATAGAGTAATTTGTTCTTCTAGCTCCGAGATCTTATGAGGACAGGGTGATTAACCTTGCAGCAATTATATGCTAAGTTAACACATGCAATTGAATTTTATTGAAGGAGAGTAACGCACAGCATTTTTATATTAGTGCCAGTGACCTGAACTCACTTAATTAGGCCAGTGCATTTGTTTTAGATTTCCATTTGTATGCAGTGCTTGTTATGATGTGAGAAAATCAGACTTGTTGTTTTCTGTATCACTGTTAGTGGGCATATTTTCGGTCATTAGGTGTATTCTGGAAGCGGAGACAGCATTTCGAACAGTTGCTAATGCAGTAATCTAAGCACTGATGTAGATGTAAATGAATCATAATTTGTTGTGTATTAGGGCATCGATTTTCATCATTAAATGTCTCATCACATTCTTTGGCGTAAACAATATTCCAAATTCAGTCTCTGCCAGTTGCCATTTAATAAACCCGGATTTTTACACCTTTTTTAAGCTGTCTATTTAATAAAGCATGTTTGTGGCTAATACTAATAAAGTGGGAGAGCTGAGAACTGAGGCTCTGGTGATTTCTGGACAAATGTCTTGGGTGAACAGGTGATTTAGTCACTGAAGTTGAATCGTTTTTTCCATCAATAAAAGTCCACTGGAGTGTGAAGACAGTCTGCACTCAAACAAACCTGAGCACGTCACACTTCTGATGTCATTTCCTGTGCCCCAGCTGCATTTGTCAATAGGTTGTTAACATGACAGAGCCTGCGGTGTTCATGCTGTGTGACATGCTGCAGTCTATTTAAAACTGCTCATTTATAACCTCACGTTTAGTTCAAGAAAGTGTGGAACGTTTGTGCTTTTAAACATAAGCATACATGCTACAGTATACCATCATTAACTAATTGGGTTTGGTTGGATTTTTGAGTGTTTCTAAAAATATTTTCTGAAATTGTAGCCGCTATTTCTTTGGTTCTCAGAGTTTTATGATCATTCATTCTGATATTCCGATTTGTTGCATAATGTATGTTTTTATATAAAAACATATATTAATATTATATAACATAATATGTTGGAAACAGTTTTACTATTTCTGCTTAGTATTTTTTTTAAACCATGATGTGTGTTTTTTACAGGATAATGTGATGAATTGACATCTCAAAAGAGCACATCAGTGCATTTTTGTAACATTTAAAAAAGCTTTATTGTTGTTTCTTAAACCAAACATTTTATTTATTTTTTTAAATATCTTTCTTTGTTTTTTTACTTTCAAATACACTGACTTACAAATTCCAATTTACAAACATTTACACAACAATTGACAATAAACAATACCATATACAAACACTACATAAGAGTGTAAAATATTTAAAGATATGTACAATAAGTCAATTATAACAAAAAAGAGAAGAAAATATAAAAAAAATACTTTAAAAAAAAGGACACAAAATAATGATCTTGAGTTTATATCTAAGTTAGTTCTGTCGAATGTATGTCTTTAAAATAATTTATAAAAGGTAACTTGTCAGATTTCACAAAATTTGTCTCCTTTTTTTTTTACTGAGAATCCGATTTTATCCAATTGCAAATGTTTTATTATTTCCGTCATTAGATGTACATACAGTTGAAGTCAGAATTATTAGCCGCCCTGAATTTATTGGTCCCCCCTGTTTATTTTTCCCCCAATTTCTGTTTAATGGAGAGCAGATTTTTTAACAAATTTCTAAACATAATAGTTTTAATAACTCATTTCTAATAACTGATTTATTTTATCTTTGCCATGATGACAGTAAATAATATTTACTAAACATTTTTCAAGACACTTTTATACAGCTTAAAGTGACATTTAAAGGCTTAACTAGGTTAATAAGGTTAACTAGGCAGGTTAGAGTAATTAGGCAAGTTATTGTATAATGATGGTTTGTTCTGTAGACTATTGAAAAAAATAGTAAAAAAAAAAATATCAGACATACTGGAAATATTTTTGAAATATTTAAATAAAAAAGTTTAAATGGGGTTTAATGATTATGATTTCAACTATATATATATATATATATATATATATATATATATATATATATATATATATATATATATATATATACCTGCTTTTTTTGTCTATACAATTAACAATTCCTTCTTTAATCCAGTCAGTAAATAGTGTATTTTTAGATGAGGCAGTAAATAAATGATTTTTTTTTTGTCATAGGGCATTGGAGGGTGCCAGCTTGCCAGCCAAAAAAAAAAAAAAAAAACAGATATGGGACCAAATATTGAGAGAATGTGAAACTACTGGATTTTTTAACAGATCGGAATGTACAGTGGGTAAAGGAGAAAATAGTTAAAAGTGAGGAAAAATAACAGCTTGCCCCTAAAACCAAACATTTTAAATCATAAAAGTCTAAAGTAAACTAGTGAAACCCTGTAAGAAACCAATTGCAATTTCTAAAACATACATTTCTATAAGTATAAATTTTGGTGGTCATCTCTTTCTGAAATATGAAAGACTTCGAGTCTCTGTCTTTGTTATTAACAGTTATTCACTATTTACCTGCTGCTAACTAGAGACATAGTTTGGTATTTCTCATCACCTGTATTTTTGTGGCTCGCGCTTAGGGTGCACATTATTAGGCAATGTCTGGCAGGATAAATACCCTTAAGTACTCGCACGTCTGTTTGCAAAATTTGGCTGGCTTTGTTGTTAACAGCTGCCACAATCTTTCATTAGACCTGTGGAGCAGCTGCCACTCACCTGTGGACTTTCATTTACAGCTTGTCTTATCACCTGCTTCTGTTTCCAGGGAGAAAACTCCTATGTTAAAGACCGCTGGTGCATGTTTGATGGCTTCATGGTGGTCTTCCTCTGGGTCTCTCTTGTGCTTCAGGTGAGGAAACTGTCTTCAGTGTTAGTTCCAAAGTTAATTGTTTCTTTTAATTTAAGAGAGTATTTCAAGCTCCAGAGGTAGCTCCACTCATCCACCTATTCCTTTGAATTGTTTAAAGGTGTTTGAAATAGCGGAGCTCGTGGACCAAATGTCACCCTGGGGAATGTTACGCATACCGAGGGCCCTTATTATGATCCGAGTCTTCCGAATCTATTTCCGATTTGAATTGCCACGTAGCCGGATAACCAACATTCTCAAGTAAGAGCTCCGTGAGCACAAAGAATGTTAGAAATGTCGACTTTTTTCATTTTAGCCACTTAATATTCATTTTCTTTCAGGCGCTCAGGGGAGCAGATCTGGAGTGTGACCATATTTTTGCTATTCTTCCTTCTTCTTTATGGAATCCTGGGGGTTCAGATGTTTGGCACATTCAATCATCATTGCGTCACCAATGAAACAGAAAAAGAGTAAGTCAATTTTGTTACTAGTACTTTCTTTAAACATAATAAAATTATTTATCTTAAGGCCACATTGTACTTCAAGCTGAAGTACGAAACTGAAGAATGAACTGGTGAGATGTTTAAGTGCAGGCTAAAACAAAGTTCAAGATTTTTAAACAGCTTGCCACATTTCTGTTTCCTGAAAAGAAGTATAGCGAAGAGGGCTGCCTGATATGCTGACATTTTTAAAATCCTCAGTCTGCACTAGTTTTTCATTTGCCTTAGCTTGTTCTGGCCATTAAAGGGTTAGTTCACCCAAAAATAAAAGTTCTGTTAATTACTGACCCTCATGTTGGTCCAATCCCTTGAAATCTTTGTTCATCTTAAGTACACAAATTAAGATATTTTGGGTTAAATTCAAGAGCTCCCTTATCCTCCATACATAGCAACAAGAGCCAAAGTAATTGTCAAACCATTCTATGTGGCTTCAGTGATTCAACTGCAAATATATGAAGTTCCAAGAACATATTTGTGTGCCAAAAAACTGTACAAGCAACTTTGTAAAATATAGGGCCTTATCATACACCCGGCGCAATAAGGCGCAAGACGTATTTCCATTAAAACATAATGTGACAGGTTACTTGGAAGAAAAAAAAAATCTATATTTGATAGGTGTTTTACACAAGTTTTTCTGCACATTTAAATACCCATTATTGGTCCTTGCGGCTATATTTATATGGTCACACTTTACAATAAGGTTCATTAGTTAATGTTAATTAATGCATTTACTAACATGAACAAACAATGATAAATACATTTACTACTGTATTTGTTCATGTTAGTAAACGTTAGTTAATGAAAATACAGTTGTTCATTGTTAGTTCATGTTAACTCATGGTGCATTAACTAATGTTAACAGGCATGGACTTGGATGTTAATAATGCATTAGTAAATGTTCAATTATGATTAATAAATGCTGTACATGTGTTGTTTATAATTAGTTCATGTTAGTAAATGCATTAACTAATGAACCTTATTGTAAAGTGTTACCATTTATATATATGATGGTGCTGTCAAAATTAGTGCGTTAACGCATGCGATTAATTTGAAATAATTAACGCATTAAAAAAAATTACACAATTAACGCAGCCCATTGGTTCTTTTCTTTATTGACATTGGGCTGACCCAATCACAAACTTCCATGTTGGGCTCTGTGTAGTGTGCAACGTAGGTCTGTATTTGTCAAAATAGTCGAGAGTCACGCCTGTTTCTCACTCACGGGATAGCAGAAGCCCAGAGCAGGCATTTGCCTTTTGCGTCTGCACTCTGCAGCATGCAGCGGTGCACGGATCAATATATTTCTGTCTATTTTATCTAGTTACCTATCTGTCCATATAAATTTACTTTTGTTTTGTTTTTACTTTTAATCTGCCACACGGCTTGCGGCAACTTTCTCATATGCTGTTTCCTTAACGTGCAAGTCTTTGTTTTTCAAATTATTACAAAGTATAACGAATGTCTGCTTCTCGAGCTCTATGAGGAGTGTCATTCGTATATTTTAAGATGCACTCGGTCAGAAGACAATCGCATGAGATATCATGACATTGTGTTTTTGATCGTCAGCATGATGTAGGCTTATATTGACAATAATATTTGTACAATATGGGTATTAAAATGATATTTATACATGACCAAACTAGTGTGCAACTTAAACAACATTTTTTAACTTTTAGTTTTGTAGTTCGGGCCCAAACAAATATTTGTTGATTGATTGACAATGTAAAATATTTTAGCTACGTTTGATGTTTCATTGTTGAGTTAAAATTTTTTTAAGGGTCTCAGATACATTTTATTTATTATTTATTTTTATTTTATTAATTAACATTGACTAAAATGTTATTAAATGTTATTAATTAACATAAATTAAAAATTTAAGTTTTTAATTTGTCAACTCTCATTTTTTCTATAAATGGCTTTTGTGTTTTTATAGAGTGGGAGTTGGTAAACATATTCAAGGGCGTGCACAGATGGGGAGCATTTTGATTGATGTAAGGGGCCGCTCTGGCCCAAAATGCCAGGGCCAACTTTTTGTCCCAGTCCAGCCCTGCAATGAGTACAATTGTTTGTATTCAATACTTTATTATGATTATTATTATTAGAATTTTCCATGTCTGCAATGCCAGTATTTTGGCATTTTTTTGCAGCCCACTTAGAATCCAACTTGGAAATCAACGTTTCTTTATTGGCATTGATTGTTTTGAAATTCAAATGGCATTAACATGACTGAGTTTTTATTTCTCTAATAAATATGGCTGTCAAGCCAGGATCTTGATGGTTTATTATGGGTATGTTGATTACATGAAGAAATCTGTGTTACAAGTTAAACAAAAATTCTAATAAACAATTATATTTTGAATTTAAATAGTTTTTGTCTTGCATTTACATTAATTTTATATTCGAATAGCCAAAATTACAAGTTACAGACTTTTAAATGTGATTCATCACGATTAATTTTTAAAAAAGTGTGATTAATTAGTAATTTTTTTTTAAATCAATTGACAGTATGTATATGTATATATATGTATGTATACATGTGTGTGTGTGTGTGTGTGTGTGTGTGTGTGTGTGTGTGTGTGTGTGTGTGTGTGTGTGTGTGTGTGTGTGTGTGTGTGTGTATGCAACTAATAGATGTGGCTCTGGTTCCCTGTCTTCTTTGAATAGAGATCTTCTTCATATCCTCTGCGTAGTGTGTCGAGGTCAGACATCCATGAGTAAAAGCATAGAGCAGACTATTGTATGTTGTGCTTTGTTACTAAATATGACATGACTCTAGCTAATTGCAGAGCGTATACAAACTTATTCACATTGTTATTGTCAGATACCTTATTAACTGCAGTATTCACTCCTCTGTCATTTTACTTGTGTGTTTGTTTTGTTGTTTAGCGGAAAACATGCAGCATGTACAGTATTACATATTTATTTAAACATCACTCTCAGCATCATGGGCAGCATTGGATTGTACACACACAACGTACCACTGTCCAGGTATTTTGCAAACAAGATCTTTGCTGTGAATATATCAGAGCATTTAGATTTAATTGAATAACTCAAGAAGTCAGGAACTTATCTCAGTGTGGTGAGTTTTATCACACTCCTTGTGGTTTATTATCCCTAGGATGAATCAGGGGATTTAACATTATGCTGCAGTTTTTCCTGGCATCGGCGTGAGATAAGAAGTATGCGTCTGTTGCTGTACACCTCCCACACACATCTGTTCTCTGCAATATAAATCCCATCAGCAGCTGTAAATGGTATTAATAACAGATCATCATTTTCATCAGGTGATGTCACGGCCCTATAAACACAGAAAAATAGCCACATTTATAAGATGTGTTTATCTGAATTTCTCAATTCACACAGAGGCGCTTGATAATTCAACTGCATGTCTAAAAATGAACGGTAAATCTAGCTGGAACACTCGCTAGCATCCTAACTTGAAGCCGTGACGAAAGCAGGGTTGAGCGCAGTCTTAATGCCATGAGTGAATGGAGCTGTGGAGGTGGTTCTCTTTTAAAACACAGGCCTATTTAATATTCCCTTGCAGATGAGTGGCGTGTCAGAGCCGGCTTTAAAACAAAGAACCTAAACCATCAGCAACAGAGGAGTGTGCTGAGCACTAATCACTATAATTAACATTTCCTGTGTTGCCTGGGCGTCATGCACATGCTCGCCTTTTTTTTTCAGCAGACTGGCCTCAATCCGTCTACATGCATAAGAGAAAAGAGTTCTTTGTAACACTTTAGTTTGTCACAATTCACACTATCAACTACTTGATTATTACTTGCCTATTAAATATTCTGTTTCAGTTGGAAGTACTGTACACCAACATACTGAAATTAAAGTTTTAGCAACTTTCGGTTCATCTTATAATGATCTTATTGTAAATCTCTAGCAATTTTACCAAATACCTTAACCCAACTACTGTTTTGTCTTATGTAAAAGTACTTGGATAGTCAGTCTTGGGTTATGTGCATAGTTAAAGGTGCAATAGGTGATTGTCTTTAGAGACATTTTTTGTTGTGCTGGTTGAAAGTCTCTTCACATTCCGAAAGTAATAATTAAAGTAAATGATCTAAATGTATTTATATGTACTTTTATATTCTAGGTAAGGCATAAGACTAAAAAATGGTTTGTCCGGGGACAATTCCTATAATTCTGATAAGAAGCTCAAACTGTCTGTCAACAAATGCAGATTTGTACTTCTTCGCAGCTATTCACGCAGATCCACCTTTTGCGCATGCATGCGCACCTGCACGGAGAGAGAGAGAGAGAGAGAAAGAGAGAGAGAAGCAAATGCTGAATCAAAACCTTTTAAAATCCTAAAGCAATACTGGAGTTACTTTTCCATGCTGGAGGAAGGATGACACCATGGCTGAAGTATTTCTTTTAGAAGGGTAATGTTCTGTTTTGAAACTCTTAGGGCTTGTTTGCTAGTTTCAGCTTGGCGCAAGAGTCGTTTTGACGTTTTGCGCCATGCTGTTTAAATAGCAAATGCATTTGCGCTCTTATGTGCGCCCATAGGCCTTCTGGTCTAAAAAGGAAGGGGTGTTGAGGCGCATTGCTGGTGCATTGCTATTTTGAGAAACTATAATAGATTTTTCAATAGACCGGCTTTGTCCAGCACAGAGAGCGTTAGTTGTGTGCCTCGCTTACACACTGCTTAATACACACAAGATGTAGAGCAATACGCAAATATCTTTACAAATTAAAAATAATTAAGATATTAAGGAGATACATAGGATATAATAAAGATATATATGATATAAATGTAAAGGATAAAAAAAATATTACTAAACATATTATTTTCTAGCCTACATAAATTTAAAAACTACTGCCTTCATGCCTTCTTCATCTCGGGAGGCATTTTCAGTTCATTTATAACAATTTGCTTTTGTATGATGTTATTATAATTAGCAGTATTATTTATTGTATCTATATTTATATTTGTTTTATTAAACTTAGACCAT